TGATCCTGATCCCGGTCCCGATCCCGCCTGTGATCCCGATCCCGGTCCCGGTCCCGCCTATGATCCTGATCCCGATCCCGCCTGTGATCCCAATCCCGGTCCCGGTCCCGCCTGTGATCCCAATCCCGGTCCCGGTCCCACCTGTGATCCCGATCCTGGTCCCGATCCCGCCTGTGATCCCAATCCCGGTCCCGATCCCGCCTGTGATCCTGGTCCCGGTCCCGGTCCCGCCTGTTATCCCAGTCCCGGGCCCAGTCCCGGGCCCCCCTGTCCCGGGTTTTTCCAGCCGCGTGGGAGCTGCCCCGTTCCGGGAGGGGTAACCCGGGGTCCTCCGGGCCCCACTCACGGTCCCGACCTGTGCCCCCAGCCCCACCATGGCCTCCAGCGAGCCCACGCCAGAGCAGCCCAAGGCGGAGGAGCAGCAGGTCAGTGCGGGGAATGTGGGGGCGATCCACGGGGTCCCAGCTTGCAGACGGGGTTATCCCACCCTGCAATGGGCTTGGAGAGCCACGGGAGCACCCCAAAACCATCCCCGGCGTGTTGGGGGCGCACAACACGCTCCGTTCCCGGTGAGGTTTGGGAGTCCCTCAGTGCCACGCTCACCCTGAGCCCTCCTGGCCCGCAGAACATCGGGACACGCGTGGCCAACCTGCCCCTGGTGAGCTCTGCTTACGACATGGTGTCCTCCGCCTACTCGTGCACCAAGGAGAGCCACCCCTACGTGCGCTCCGTCTGCGATGCGGCCGAGAAGGGCGTGAGGACGCTGACAGCGGCAGCGGTGAGCGGGGCCCAGCCCCTCCTCACCCGGCTGGAGCCCCAGAGTGAGTGCAGGGACGGGGGACAGCACCCCACGGGGCTGGGGCACCCCAAACCCGGCTCTCACCGAGCTCTCGTGAGGAGCCCGGGGAGGGACGGTCTGGTTTTTTGTCTCTGGTTTGTATGGCTGAGGAAAAACGGCTGGAGAAGCTGAAAGATGTAGGGGTAGCACCCCCTGAATTTTGGGGTGATGGGAAATCGGCCCTTGCAGAGCTCCTGCAAGGCAGCAGGGTGCTAAACCCACCTATTTTCACACCTCCAGTTTCCACCGCCAACGAATTAGCCTGCAAAGGGCTGGACAAGCTGGAGGAGAAGCTGCCCATCCTGCAGCAGCCCCCCCAGAAGGTACCGGGGTGGGCTGGGTGGGGTGGGCAGAACATTCAGAGCTTCCCCAGTGCTTAACAGAGTTTGTGTGTCCACCAGATCATCTCGGACACCAAACTGCTGGTGACCTCCACGGTGACAGGGGCCAGGGATGTGCTGACCAGCACCGTGGCCGGGGCCAAAGATGCAGTGTCCAGCACCGTGGCCGGGGCCAAGGATGCAGTGTCCAGCAAGGTGGCCGGGGCCAAAGATGCAGTGTCCAGCACTGTGGCCGGAGCCAAGGATGCAGTGTCCAGCACTGTGGCCGGGGCCAAAGATGCAGTGTCCAGCAAGGTGGCTGGGGCCAAGGATGCAGTGTCCAGCACCGTGGCTGGGGCCAAGGATGCAGTGTCCAGCACTGTGGCTGGGGCCAAAGATGCAGTGTCCAGCAAGGTGGCCGGAGCCAAGGATGCAGTGTCCAGCACCGTGGCCGGGGCCAAGGACGCTGTGAGCAGCCGAGTGACCGGTGTGATGGACATGACCAGAGGGGCAGTGCAGGGTGGTGTGGAGCTGACCAGGTCTGCGGTCAGCAGCGGCGTTAGCACCGTGGGCCAGATGGTGACCAGCGGGGTGGGCTCCGTGCTGGGCAAGTCCGAGGAGCTGGTGGATCATTACCTGCCTATGACGGATGAGGAACTGGGTGAGCAGCTGGTCCCAACCCTCCAGAGAGGGTGGGCAGAGCAGGGGGGGCTCTGTGGGGTGGTGATGGTGGTGCTGGGACCCCCTGAGCAGCTCCTGTCCCACAGCCAAGCTGGCCACGGCCGTGGAGGGCTTCGAGCCGGAGCAGCAGAGGCAGCAGCAGAGCTACTTCGTGCGCCTGGGCTCCCTCTCCACCAAGGTGCAGCACCGAGCGCTCCAGCACTCCCTGGCCAAACTGCAGAGCGCCCGCCAGAGCAGCCAGGACCTGCTGGCCCAGCTCCAGCGCACCCTCGACCTGGTAGGACCCAGCCCCGCACCCCCTGTGCCACCCTGAGGTGTGGCCCCGGTGCCTCCTCCACCCAGCCGGGCTGTGCCCCTCTCCCAGGTGGAGCAACTGAGGCAGGGCGTGGATCAGAGGCTGCAGGGCGGGCAGGAGAAGTTGCAGCAGCTGTGGCTGGAGTGGAGCAAGAAGCAGCCGGGAGGTGGCAAGGACCAGGTGCCACCGGAGGTAGGAGCAGGGCAGGGTGTCCCCAGGGTGTCAGGGACACCGGGGTGTCCCCCAGCCCTCACCCCGTGTCCCCCCATGCAGGCGGTGGAGTCGGGCACGCTGAGCATGCTGCAGGGCTTGAGCCAGCAGCTGCAGAGCTCCTGCCAGCCCTTGGTGTCCAGCCTGCAGGGCCTCCCCGCCACCGTGCAGGACACGGCGGGGCAGGTCCGGCACAACGTGGAGGAGCTGCGGGCAGCGCTGGCCTCCGTCACCTCCCTGCAGGACGTGACGGGGCCCGTGCTGGCCCGGGCCCGCGGCCACGCCACCAAAGCCCGGCAGCTGATGGACGAGCTGGTGGAACGTGTGGCCTTCAACACCCCCTTGACGTGGCTGGTGGGACCCTTCGCCCCCTCGGGCAAGCGCCCCGTGGAGATGGAGTAGCAATTCTGGGCTGCTTCCCCCCTCCCCTCTGCCAAAAAAGCCTCGTTAAAGCTTTGCTAAACTCCCCCCTCACCCCTCACCTTGTGCCTCTGTGGGGACCCCGCTGCCTGTCCCAGCTCTGTCCCTTGTCCCCTTGCTGGGGAGCTGCAGTTGTGTGCCCCAAGTGCCTGTTGGGGGTCCCCCATGTCCTCAGTGCCTTCAAACTCCCACCCTTGTAAGCCCAAAACAGCACAAGAAACAATAAACTGGTTAGTTTTGCACTGGATTGAGGTTTCTTTGGGGGTGTGGGAGATGGGACTTGGGCTCTGGAGGAACAGCTCCTTCCCCAAGACCTGGGGACCCCCATGTCCTGAGCCCCCATTCCCCAGACACCCCCTCAGCCCCCGTGGGAGCAGGGGTGGGAGGAGAGGACCTGGCAGTGGGATCAGGAGTGGGGTTCTGGAGGGGACCTCCCACTTCCCAGCAGTTGGGCAAGAGGCACTCGGGGTGCTTTGGGCTTTATTTGGGTCTTGTTTACGGATCGAGCATGAAAACCGTCCTGGAAAAAGAAAAAGCAAACTGTCCCCAGGGCAGATTTCGTGCAGCCTGCAGGAGGAGGGGTCGGGGCATCCTCCCCCGGGGGTCGGGCACAAAGAGCAGGCGGCGCCGGGTGGAGCCGGGAGTTCTTTATTGGACACGGACAAAAGCTCTGGAGCGTTGCAACAGAGCCGAGACCAGCACTGAGCTGCTGCCCAGCACGGGCAGGATGGTGCCAGGGTCGCTCCTGGCACAGTCAGGAGAGAACACACCCTTTTTACCCTTATTTTACCCCAAGAAGTTGGTGCCCAGCCCTGCTGCTGCCCCTGGGGGTGGAGGGGTTTGGCTCCAGCAGCTGCCTGTGGATGGAGAGAGGATTGTGATGGTGGGGAAAGGGGTTTGGAGCAGCCCCTGAGTGCGTGAGCTCGGTCAGAGGGAATTTGGGGACCCATGGGTGTTTTCCAGCCCTGACCCTGGGCAGGGGGTTAAGGTCTTCCCCTCCTCCCAAACCGAGATGCCTCAAGAAAGAGACACTGGGGTTCCTTCTGCTTTTCATTAGAAAACCCTTTATATTCATTTCATGTCGGTTGAAATCACAAGAAATTAGGTAGGAGGGGAAAAAAAAACAAAACAAAACAAAAATTAAAAACTGAGGGGGGAGGGGAGGGGACAGGGGGACAAATACAGACACCAGCACAGCCCCCCCGCGGGTGCTGCCTCCGCAGGGATGGGACACGGGACAAGACCAAGGACATCGGCTACGGTGGGGCTTAGTGAAGTGACTCAGGCAGGGGATGAGGCAGAGGCTGCTCTCCCTTCAGAGCCTCTCCTCCTCCTCCTCCTCCTCCAGGTGGGAGCAGCTTCCTCAGCTCTCTTCCTCCTCCTCCTCCTCATCCGCAGCCTCCGACTCCCCGCGAGCTCGCTCCAGCCCGGCCTTGGGATAGTCCTGGACACTGCTGGGGGAGAGCAGGGGCAGGGAGAGCTCAGCCCCCGCCCCTCTGCCTCTCCTGGCTCCTCTCCCACATTCCAGCTCCTTCCCAAGCTGGGAAAATCCTTTCACAACTCACAGGATGTCCCCGAATCATCCCTGCAGAGCCCAGCTCTGCTCCCCACACTCACTTGTTGTGGGGCTCCTCTGTGGATGCCTCCAGCTCCCCAGCTCCTGGCCCTTGGCTCTTCTCCTTCTCCTCTGTGCCCTCTGACTTTTGGGACAGGGATTCACCATTCACAGGACCTGACAGGTCTGAAGGGAAGAGAGAAAAGTTCAGGTTCTTGGACCCCCTCATCCATCCTGACCCTCATGGACTGAGGATCCATGGACATGCAGCCAAGCCTGAGGGGACCCCAGCTGTACTGGCCTGACCCCCACAGCTGCAAGAAGGGCCCCAAAACCTCCACCCCCAGCCCAGAGACACCATCAGGGTGGATTTTCCCTGCCAGTTCCTCTGGGAAGGCTCTTGCAGCACCACCAGGACGGCCCCAGGCAGAGACCTGGCTCCGAGGATGGAAGATCCCAGTCACCACTCCCTGTGCAAGAGCCTGAGCCAGTGTCCAAGGACATCTCCACATTCCCTCGTGCCTGGACCAGAGCTCAGGCTGGCAGGGATGAGCTGTCCTGAGCCAAAATTCAGCATGGAGGCCCCCAGAGCCTGGGTGTGGGGCTCGAGGTTTGCCCTCTACCCTCACTGCATTCCCCATCCAGCCCTTTCCCACTCCTGGCACTGCAGCAAAGCAGGGCCTGGAGGTGCTGATCCCTCCCCCACGAGGCCAACAGCCACCTCCCCACGTCCTGTGTCCCCAGCAGCACGGGCCATGCCCCAAGGAGGGGACAGTGACCTTCCCAGACAGGGCAGGGAATGCTCCCGGGACGTTCAGGGATGCTCAGCAATGTTGTTACCAGCATTTGTCTCCTCTTCCCCCTTCTCATTCCGTGTCTCCGCTCCCGACAGCTTCTCCTGGCCCTTCTCTGCCTCCCCCTTGTCCTTCTCAGGCCCAGCTTTGTTGGCTTTCTGGATGGATTCCATCTTTGGTCCCAGCACACGCGACTTCAACCGGGTGTAGACTTCGGCCGCTTTTTCCATCACGTCCTTGTTGGCTTTGTAGCGCCGGATCTGCCCCGGGGAGCAGGAGGAGGGACCCCCTTAGAGCTGGGGCCAGGCAGGCTCCCTGCTCGCCCTGGGGAGGGCTCAGCACTCTGCTCTACCTTCTTGAGCGTGGCCACCACGTCCGTGTGCTTCTGGAGGATGTGGGAAGTGACCTGGAGCGTGCCCAGCTCCTCCAGTGCGCTCAGACACCGCTTGATGTCCTGCACGGATGGCAGCGGGATCAGGAGCTGCCCCGAGGACACCTTGGGGGCTCCCAGCACCCCCAAAAGGAGGAAGAGGAGCATTCCCAGGTGTCACAGCAGGGCAAGGATGAGCAGGGGTGTCCCAGGCCATCGGCACTCACCGGGTTATCCACCTTCAGCGCAAACTTGATCTCACTGTGAAGTTTCTGGAGTTTCTCTTCCACTGTGGGCTCTGGAGCAGAGAGACAGACACAGGCCAAGATGTCAGGGCAGCAGCAGAGCCCACGGCCCTTCCCAGAGCCCAGGATCTGCTCCGGGTCCTGGAATCACTCCCAGGCAGGGGTTTGTGTCCTCCTGCACGTCCAAAGCTGAGCACAGTCCCAGGAGTGTCACTGGAGAAGATGGGTTGGGGTGTGCCAAGATAGGGAGGGGATGCCAGGGAAGTGATCCTGGGAGCACAGCAGTGCTGGGAAAAGCCCTGGCACAACCTCACCGATTCCTCCCTGTCCCAGGGGATGGGGGAACCAACCCTGGAGCCCTCCCCTCTCTCTCCTCCCCTCTGTGATGGGAAGCAGTGGCTCTCTCACCCTTTTTCTTCTCCATCCTCCTTTCGGGGATCGGGTCGGATTTCTTCCGGCCTCGTTCCACTTTCAGAGGTCTGTGTGAAGGGAAGGAAAAAGGGAAGATGGTTGTGGTGAGCCCTCTGCTCACCATGGGGCTAACAAGGGGGATGGCACTGGCTGGAGCATCCAAGTCCCCTCCACCCTGCTCACAGCTCCCCTGTGCCTCAGCTTCCCAGGAATGCAGACAGGAAAAGCCTCACGAGAATGAAAACACCACAGAATGTCATCCTGGTAACCCCCAACAGCTCCTCCAGCCCCTTCAGCCCAGGAGGAGGGGAGGAACAGCCCCAGCCCCTCTGCAGGTGCTGCAGCCCCGTGAGCCCCATCCCCACCCCGGGGTGCCGGGGCTGGAGCCGTGCAGGAACAGCCCCATTCCCAGGAGGAAAGGGGAGGGAGGGAGACGTGGAGATGCTGACTTGTTCCGTGGCTTCTCCTCTGCTCGGCCTCTCTTCTCCTTCTGATTTGGTTTCCTTGACAACTCCGAGGGCTGTTTCTTCGCCGGCTTCTTTACCTTGGAGGAGAGAACAATGCAGGGAGAGCGGCAGGGCCCTCCCTGCCGCGGCGCAGACGGGGCCACGGCCACGCCACAACAGCACCCGTGGCCACCCCACAGCATGTGGCCACCCCACTGCCATGGCACAGCATCACCCTACATGTTCCCAAAGAATCCAGGGGGACAGCAGAGCAAACCCCAAGACTGTGGTGGAAGAGGATCTTGGAGATCATGGAATGGTTTGGGTTGGAAGGGAACATAAAGCTCACCCCGTCCCACCCCTGTCATGGCCAGGGACACCTTCCACTGTCCCAGGGTGCTCCAACCCCCATCCAAACTGCTCCTGGATGCTTCCAGGGATGGAGCAGCCACAGCTGCTCTGGGCACCCTGTGCCAGATGTGAGGCCCACAGCTGGATGAGGCACCCTGGGCCAGAGGAGGAGCTCCCACTCCAAGACAGGGATACAACCCTTGCAACACCATGTGGGCAGCTGCAGGCTAACCCAAGACCACGAGGGCAGGTCCCTGCCACTCCTGGAGGTCCCTGATGGCTGACAGGGAGGTGACGGGTTGTCCATCCACCCCCAGGCCCCCAGAGCTCCACACTCACCTCCTTCTCCTGCTCCAGCTCAGAGTCCGAGGAGGACGGAGCCTTGGCCCGGCCCCTCCGGCCCTTTTTGGCCATTTCATCCTCGGCGCTGCTGTCCGAGTCCGAGTGCACCTCCTCGCTCTTCTCTGCCTTCTCCTTCCTTTTCTCCTTCTCCTCCTTCTCCTGCTCCCGGAGCCGACGGATCTCCTCCTCCTGCTCCCTCTTCCTCTTCTCCTCCAGCTCCCGCCGCCGCTCCTCGTCCCGCCTCTTCCACTCGCTGATGCGATCCACGTCGCTGTCGCTGTCACTGCCAGGACAGGGCAGGCTCGGACCCCTGCGTGACCCCCAGCCCAGCCCAAGGGTGGCAGTGTCCCAGCTGGGCTCACCTGTCACTGCTGGAGCTGCTGGGGACACGCTCGGGCTTCGGTTTCCTGCCCCGGGGCTTGGGAGGAGGTTTCTCAGCTGCAAGACAAAAGGGACATGTTCAGCAGGAGCCCCGCAGGATCCTCGGTTAAAACAGCTCTGAGCTGCAGAGACAGAGGGGGTCTAGAATGTACCCACAATTTGGGATGGGAGCCTAGAGCCTTGGGAATGCCCGAGCTGCCACACTCCCACCCCAAGGTGGTGGCAGGAGAAGGAGAAGGAGAAGGAGAAGGAGAAGGAGAAGGAGAAGGAGCAGGAGCAGGAGCAGGAGCAGGAGCAGGGGCAGGAGAAGGAGCAGGAGAAGGAGGAGCAGGAGAAGGAGAAGGAGC